AAAAAAAAGTCGCTAATCGCTTCTAGATAAGTATATTTACCTTGCTGTAGCCTTGATCATAGTAGATGTCTGCATGTCAGTCAATTTCTTGATACACCTCTGACCCGCAACTATATTACAAACTTCTAATGGTAAATAAGTGTGCTTGTGTTCTTGTCCAACCTGGAGACATGGCAAATGTGGGTACCTAAGCTTCATCTTGTATTTGTCTAAAAAGTATTTTGCAACTGTACATTCCACAGTTTGTCCATTTTCAAGCTGAAGCGGAAATCTAAGGAAAACACATTCAGAAATATTTATGTGTATAAATACACATGTCTTATATTAATTTTTTCTCTCTTACTGCACTTACAGAAAATGTTGGTGATGATGAAGCACACAAAAGCCTATTCAATACATCTGTATTTATAGGTTAGGAAGTACATCTCATACAAGTGAAGATACATTAAAACGTTGAAACAAATTTAATGATAGTAACTTATTCAAAGTATGATAAGTGTACTCTCGTTATTTGCAAATGTTTTCTGGTAACATAAAAGAGGTACTGCACAAAGTTCAAAAACATGCTCTAAGTCTGATTACCCTGTTTTCAAACAGAATAAAGCTGTAATATGACAATATATTTACAAAATTTATCGGGACAGTAATCTCATAACACTTGTAAGATTTTCACTAGACATTTTACAAAACTACGACGCGTGTTTCACCATACAATTGCTTCCTCAGGCGTCTCCATACCGACTAAATTCTACCTAATTAGTGCTACATATAACAATTTGAATCATAATTCCTTTTACCCACTCAATGACTAATTGAAAATGTCTTTTTTATAAGATGGTTTGTGGAAAATTTCAATATAATGTTTATCATTAATTTTAGTGATGATCAAATCTAGAAAAAGTTTTGAATTTTTCACTACCACTTCAGCGGTGAATTCAATTGATGGGTGAATACAAATAAGTAATTCCTGAAAAAGTTATTACGTAGTGAAACACTTGTTGCGGTTTTGTAAACTGTTCAGTGAAAATCTCAGCTACGAAATCTCAAACTTTATTCAACTCTGGTGTACATACTTTCATAATGTGAACTCTGCAGATATCTTTAGTTTTTTTGATAAGTAGTTGCAAGTTATAACTATAAGTACTGGGTTGGTTACATAGTTGCTATACTGAAAATTGAATTTCAAGTAAAATCTATGCTGAAACTTTCGATTCTTCTCAACTCACTCTTACTGAATATTCATATTTAAATGAAGCAGTATTAAACTTTTTCTACTTACGACTGCATCTGTGCAGGTCTTCTAGTTACGTTACACACTCTGTACTTTCTTCTCATAGCCCCACAGTGAGTTATTTCTATTTTGAGTCCTTTGATTTCTTTTGTGAATTTGACACGCTGGCTGTCCGTTAAAGGTTTTCGCTGCTCATTGATGTCTCGGATATCAAGTACTTCACACATAAATTCTATCACAGGTTGTGCTTTGTAAAATGCCGTTGCAGAAACTGAAAAGAACGGTGGAATTAGGAAAACTTCAATCCTTCAATAGAAGCAATCATAGTTATACCATCAATGTTGAGCATCATTTTCCACTGGCTAGGTCTAACTGACTGATGAAAACCAAACCAAACTTCCCGGCCACCACCTATAAACAAAAAAATATTTAAATGAAAGATCCCCTGTGAATCATAGAATCATGAACCTAGTGGATGGTAGTATCCTTCCGGGCTGCTGAAGAAGCTCCTTCCGACTGGTGTATAACTCATAGAGGGCAAATGCCTCATGACAACATCCAAGGCTAAAATAGCCTCGTATGGTATCTGTCTAGTTCTACCTTCCAATGCCTCTTCCAGACCATAAAGCGAAACTTGAGCCACCCACTTGATGCTGACACGAAATAGTCTATCCTTTCCCTCGCCCGGCAGTGTGACTTCCAGTTCTTCTCTGGAGTTGCCAATAGGCAGTGGATCTCTCGTATAAAGATTACTCCTGCCATCGAATACTGGTTTCAGGCTGCCAAAAATTTTACCGTATGCTTTCACCATCGTTTCTATAATTTCTCTGTTCACCTAGAATTATTTTATTGAAAATATTATTATGAATAAATAAACAAAATGGTTCAGGCTTTCGCTACCGAGGTTTTCAGTATCACTATTTTTTTCTGATACCAAATAAGTAATTCACTTAATCAAATTTGAATGAAGTAATAGCAGAAGAGATGCAAACTTCAAAATGCCTCAAAAACTACTTCATTTTAGGTAGCATCCTTAAATATCCATAAATAAACATCATAATTGTTTTAGTTAATGGTTTAAACTATTTACCTTTCTAGGGCATTTGTCGGGTTGAATGTTGACATCATAGTGATGAACAAAACCTCGAGGCATTGTTATTTGGAAATGGTTGGCCTTCAGTCCGATAGGTCGACCTTCCCGGCCAAGGTTGGGCCTTCGTGGACATTGGAAGACCGGGGGCTCTGCTGGTGGTGAAACTGCAGCAACTACGCTAGTTGCACCAGGTAAGGCAACTGCTGTGCTAGTTGCACCCAGGGGGGTTCCAGAAGGGCCCGCTGGAATAAAAAAACAACAATCAGCAATGACAAGAAAAAAGGTTTCAACTGTATAGTCCCTAACCGAATGGCATCCTAATAATAGCTTTATCCTAAAGTGTGTGCATCCATTTTCAGGAAGGAAATCTCTGCCTGTTGATGAAAACTACAAACTTGCAATTAGAAGAATAGTACTTTCCTTTTGTTTCAAGAAAGAAATACCGATTATCGACAAAATAATGGGAGCTTTGAAAGAAGGCCAAGGTATGTCTTCAATGATAGCCAAAAAGAAATTGTGGAAAAACTTAAAAGAACTAAATTTCAGCTGAAAAAAACAACAATGGTGAAATTGTTTGCTAGAGTATCGGTCAAGTACACTACAGAATTGTTATAAAATTCCAAATGGTACATCAAGAAAATGTCAATTGTTGAATCCAGTTAAGTTATGGACCCAACAAGTAAGATCCTTAAGATAAACTATTGTAATTGCTTAAAAATAAATAAACCTATTTATTTTTATTTGTCCAGTACACCACAAACTATTAATAAAATACCAAATGGAACATAAAAAAATATACTAAAAAATATTATAAATACATTCAACACTAATGATCAATTAAATTATAAAACCAAACGTAACTATATCAAGTACATAACAGAATTGTAACAAAGTCCCAAATGTTACATCAATGTGCAAACAAACCCTAGAGTCAAGTTATTACTTCACAATAAATAAAGGTATGCATTTTCATTTGTCAAGTAGTACATTATATTTTTTTAGCATGTACGTTCATTTTAATTANTAATACAGACAGCCTCATTTGCGAGTTAAATCCAAAGTAGGGTAGGCCAAGTTTCCAAATTATATATTTAGTGAAGCGATTTTGCACTTTTTCAAGTCCTTCTTTATGACAAGCATAAATAGTGTAATATTTTCATATTTGAATAAATAACACAAGAAAATATACCTACTATTTTTATTTTTACCACACCGAATGGGGAGTTTTCTTAATCAAATAAGAGAAAGTTCATTGGTTGCTTGTGCGGTGAGTAGATGTCAAAAAATAAAGTTAGATGGATTCACTTCTTTGATTGACAAACTTGCTTTTGTGACATCCGCTCACAGCACAATCAATTAATAAATCATTCATGTTTTATTCGAAAACTGTTAAAAACAGCAAAATTATGAAAGTGGTCGGTCGGTAGCCGGGCGGTTCGGCGTGGGTGCTTTGTTAACTCAGCATTTTCAAAAGACTGGGTCGCCTTCTGGAAAAGGAAACCGACTGATTACCCACAACCGAAGTGTTGATGGTTTTGTGGAGGGTGGTTTGTTGATGTTTGAGTCAAAGCATTTTGGTGATTACCAAGAAGACAAGAACGGCGATGTGTTTGAAGAATACTTTGAACAAATGTTAGACTTCATTCCACCTAACTCTGTGATTGTAATGGATAACGCAATTATCATTCCAGAAAAGTGTAAAGAATACCAACTAATTCGTGGAAAAAAGCGGATATCATCGAGCGGCTCCAACAAAAAAGCATACATTCGATGAAAGTATGATTAAAAACAACTATTGTCCATAGTATGTTCCAATACAGCTCGTTAATCGGAATACGTAGTCGACAAGATGCTTCTGCCCCCTTATCATTACGAACTTAATCCCATTGAACTCGTTTGTGCTCAAGTAAAGGATTTCCTTGCAAGAAAAAATACGACATATAAAAAAAGCTGTTAAAATACTCCAAAAAATGTCGGACAACACTTTTCAAAAGGTAGGTTTTTCTCACAATCTTTCAAAGTCGCATTCGGATGAGCAGCAAAATATCCAGACATCATTTCCAGATGTTCATCATCCATCTGATGCTTTCGTTTGGTTGTTTTTGGAAGAATTGATCCATGATGCAAAACATTTTTCAACAGCCTTTTTACTGTATTGAGATTCGATTTCAGTTTTTCCTTATACCTTTAGGCAAATAACCTGCATGTCCGGTCGATAATTCGAGTACATTCACCATAGATCATAGTAAAGTTTAAAAAATCTTCGTTTTATAACCCATAAGACATTCTGCTCACGCATTCATAAAATACACGTATATAAATGACAACATCAATAAATCAACAACTATCTTCATTTGTTTCCATAGCAATCCTATTGTATCAAACGATAATAAAGTACTCATAAACGATAAATAGACAATTTTACTTAATACCCCAGATGCCCATGAAATCAGTCGTGTTGTAACAATTTGAGAGTTAATAAATGCCTGGAAGTTAACGAAAATGACTTCGAAATAATATTTTTCTACACCCGTACTCTAACAATACACTTATATGACCATAATCTGTTTCATAATGATATCCATTATGATACAGATTTTTCATAACGATACAGATTATCAACCAATAGAAACCCATAATTTTTCAATCAAGAATCCTGTTCCTTTGTTTGTCCTAGATTCTAACCTAAGTAACTAANATTGAGACCAAACTCTCTACGGTGAAATTTTTAGGTGTACACTTGGATGAATTTCTCAGCTGGAAAACTCATTGTGGAACAGTTATATCAAAATTGAACTCCATGAATTATCTTCTGAGAAACCCTTGTAATATTTTAGACCAGAAACAGCTGATTATGCTGTATCATGCTCAAGTCAAATCGCGTCTTTGGTATGGTATTACTTTCTGGGTAGCTTCCTCTTCATGCAAAGATGTTCTTGTCGCCCAGAAAAAGATTATAAGATGTATAGCAGGAGTCTCAAGAAATACAAGCTGTAAAAGCTTTTTTTTAAATTTTGAAATACTAACATTGCCATGCCTGTATATATTCGAATTATGTGTTTTTTATGTAACTATAACTGTTTCATAAGTAATGAAAATGTGCATCTATTGATACCAGGTGCAAGACAGACTCTCATATGCCGTATTGTAAAAATGCACTGACTTACAATTCCCCCAATGTAATAGGGTTCAGATTATTTAATCTGCTACTACTTGAACTGAAAAACTAAGAAAGTAGAAGTCCCCCGTATTGAGCGAGACAGACGGCAGGCGGTGACGTCATCACACCAGCCAGGTTGCTTCTCAGCTCGCAAGGCAGACAGACCATCCAGTCAACCAAATTATCACGTGGTATCCTGTCACCCAGCGGTGATCCAATCATAGTGTACCAAATTGTCACGTTGCGTCCTCAAACTGTCACGAAACTCGCCATTCAATCAGAGCACACGCTTTTGCATCTCACCAACGTAAGATATTAAAAGAAACTGCGAATGATGGGTATTTACAGCGTAAGTTTTGTCGGGACCAAAATCGACTCATTTTATATACTTGACCGCATTTTTTTGATTTCCGTAGAATGTTAGGGAGGTGGTAATATTCATTATGATGTTGAAGATATGAAAATATAGGTACGTTGAGTTCGGCACATNCGTTACTGTGTTCGAGAATGTTCAGGATAGAATAGTACTATCCACAGCTTCAAAATTACACTTAAGTCTTTCCTACTAGAGAAAACCTATTACTCCCTTCAGAAAATGATTGAATAATAAAACGAAAAATTCAATGAATGTGTTACTCTTGGTAAATTATCTTATTTTTAGTTTCACTTTTAAGCTTTTTCTAACTAATCCTACACAATGTACCTTTTTGATTGTCTGACAGGATAATAAAAAAAACATTTGATCGAACTTGGCGTGCCTCCATTCGAACGATTGGATATAAAGATGATTTGAAAGTTTATGAGAAAATCGATACACTTAATGACTGTGTAGGAATCCAGAGCAAGCTGAACCAATTATCCAGTTGGTGTTTTGACGATGGTATGGAACTCAATACAAGTAAATGCCATTCCATAATTTTTAGCCATAAACGTATTCTCTTAACGTTCTCTTATACTATAAATCAAGTTCCACGCAGTAATGTTACCGAAATAAAAGACTTGGGTTTACTTCTAGACAGCTCATAAATTTCAACCCTACATGTCAGCCACTGTTAATAAGTCTCTCAAAATGCTAGGCTTACTAAGAAAATGCACGTCAGATTCCACTGATATCAAATGCTTGAAAATTATGTACTGCTCTCTGGTGAGATCTCATCTTGAATACATATATTCTGTTTGGAACTCATCATATACAAGCAAGCCACATCCATATATAAGAACAAGTTCAGAGAAAATTCCCGAGATTGGTTGCGTTTAAATCCAGAATTACTCCTGAGAACTACATATATAACTATCCTCAACTACATTCCCTCATAGATCTTGGAACACTCTGTAACAGAAGGGATACTAAAGACTCGAAGGTATTCTTTTAAATTATTAGTGGAATTGTTCATTGTCCTTCATTGTTATCCAAGATCGGAATTTCAGCCTCTCCTAAGAGCTTGAAAAGCTTGTACCACTTGTAAACATATTCTGACTGTATGCCACTGTCAACATTTCAAGTATTTTTGAGCACTTCATTCCATTTTTTACACAAAATTTGATGCAAATTTTTTCGATAGCAGAAAATCGTCGAACATGCAAAACACTTTTAACCTTTATGCCCCTCATCACCAATACAAAATGTACAATACAAAAAAAAGTCGCTAATCGCTTCTAGATAAGTATATTTACCTTGCTGTAGCCTTGATCATAGTAGATGTCTGCATGTCAGTCAATTTCTTGATACACCTCTGACCCGCAACTATATTACAAACTTCTAATGGTAAATAAGTGTGCTTGTGTTCTTGTCCAACCTGGAGACATGGCAAATGTGGGTACCTAAGCTTCATCTTGTATTTGTCNCAAAATTGAACTCATAACATATTCAAAAAAGAAAAAATACTTTTGCACCATTTTGATGACTCTTTTGATAATCACTTGCAACTTTTTCTGGTTATAAAATATTTCGAACTGTGTGCCAAATAGAGCGCACAGAGCTTGATATGGAAATACATCACTTTTAGTTTTGAATCGATATTTTTCAATGTGTTGATTGAGTTTAACAAGAATACAAGGATCATAGAGGCTCAGAACTGGCATTTTCATGTACTGTAAAATTTTTAGTATTTACCCTGACCACTAGAGGGCGATGGCAGTACGATGTCAGTATTTAATGTGATTACTAACCGAACTAGGTAGCAGTCGCTGACAAACTAGTCAGGTTTTTAATTTAATTTGATTTTGGCATACATTCCGACTTCGATATGATCAGACTGTTAGCTTCCCAATTCTGTTGATATTCACATTAAATAATGACATCGTACTGCTGTCGCCCTCTGGTGGTCAGGTAAGTACCAAACATTTTATAGTACAGGAAACTGCCAGTTCTGAGGTTCTATAGGCTTTGTTGATTATGTTAATGTCAAAGAAACCACCAATTCACGAATATATGTTTCCACTAGATTAACATTTTTACGAACAGCGGTCAAATAGAAATAAAAGTGCGTGCTGAAGAGATAACATTAGGTGAAATATACATCAACTCAAAGAAACATGACTAAAAATGCTCATTTCCATTTTTACGGAGGTTTATTCAAAACCAAGGATTTTTTNATATTTTAGTTGGCTAGAGAATGTCCGAATATGCCCCCCATTAAATTTTCAAAGTGATCCGTTGTCTGGTTCACCAGAAACGTCTAATGTGCCATCCACCGTGAATCAGCCTGTATACAGTGATACTGATATATAGCGAAATTTGTTAAGGAGATTTCAGCATCAAAGATGAGCCCTGAAATGGTCGACCTTCAGTAATCCACAACGAGGTTAGAGATCGTGGTGGAAATTGACTCGTTACAAACAGTGCGTGAGATTGCAGAAGAAACGAGTGTCAGCTCCCATGCGGTTTTTGGTAGTTTGAAACATATTGGAAAGATCAAAAAGCTCAAAAAGTGTGTCCCCCACGAGTTGAACGATTGACAGAAATTGTCGCGTCCTGAGGTATGTTCTCTTTTGCTTTTGCGTAACCAAAACAATCCTTTTTTGGATCGGATCATCGCGTATGATGAAAAGTGGATCCTCTACGATAACAGGAGACGTTCAGGACAGTGGTTGAACATCTATGAGACACCCAGCCACTTCCCAAAGGCTTAAACCAACCAAAAAAAAGCCAGGTATACTGTATGATGGTCAGTAGCTGGTGTGATTCACTATAACTTTCCGCAACCGGACCAAAGCATCACAGCAGAGTCTTATTGTGAGGAAATCGACGAAATGTACACTTCGTTTACTTTATCTCCGGTAGAACTTTTGCCAATCAGGACCAGGCAAAAAACAGCCGTCGTCGACTTCATCGAATCCCGAGTAACCAATTTTTATGCTGGCAGAATTAATCGACTAGTTTTGAGTTGGCAAAAGTGTACTGATTCAAATGGCTCTCAATTCAATCAAATTGAGATATTCCACTGAGATGTTACAATTCGAAGTGGACTCATAAAAACAGACAAAACATTATATAAAATAATGAAAACTTTGCACCTACCTGTCATGTTCCTTTTCCACCAAGTGATAACGTGCCCTGAATGCCACCAGATGAGCATAGTAGGCGGGAGCAGGAATTGAGACAGAACGAGTACATCGTACATAAGTATGACATAACTGATATGTCAAACATTGCAACTCATCTGACTCCAAGTGAGAATCATCCCAAAGAACATGATAATGTGATGGTCTCGAAGTACCCTGAAATAATAAATCTATGCTTACTATCTGAAAAACCAGAAAATTTAATAAAGAAAAGAGAACTGAAACTTTCTATGTCTTTTAGCACTTTAATTTGTAACTAACGTTACATTAACATACATTAAACTTTTAATATGTACATCGAATTTTTAATGTATACATTAAACTTTTAATGTATAAGTTTGAAAATGTCCTTATACAAATAAAAGAGTAATGAAACTTTCTACATCCATCAATTTATAGAAAATTCAATGTTAAGGATTTTATCTTTTCAGTGCTAGTTTTACCAATATCCAATGATTTAACTGAAATTTGATTCAAACATTTTTGTGTCAGAATAAAACAGTTCAATGAATAACGATATTTTGCTCAGTCACAAGTCAATACAAAATCTATCTTGGTATAACTCTGAGAAGATGTACATTTGCTTGTAAGAGAGCAATTTCCATTCTTGTTGGTAGGAAGTTTTTGACTAACAAACAAAACAAATGGGAATAGTTTGTACTTGTTTGTGAAAAGGGAATATTTTCATGAGAAACCATTTTTTGGGAAAAAAATATTTAATTTTTAATTTCAATAAAATTCCAATGGCGGGGATTAAACTGACCGTACGAATATATATACACATTGTCAAGAGCAGATTTTCTCTTCTGGTGGCAGAAGGTCATAATGTAATGAATGAGTGCTTTTTTGTAATGTTATCCAAAATGGTGATGATGAAGCAAAACAAATGTCTTGTCCCGAAACTGAAAAATACGAATTCAAGTTCATATAGAAGCAGTTGTTTCAAAAGGATTTTTTCCTTTAATGTACTTCAATATCATGTGAAAGTACTTATTTAGAAAGGGTTTCTTCTTCCAGTTTGTATCTGAACGAAACTTCCGTGTATATGTCTGTAATAAAGGTATGTTGGATATAATTCAATATCCGGCGAGGTATTAGCGCGGTATTTACCGATCCTTCACGTTTAACACGCGTTTCCTCGTGTAACGCCGTCTAGGGGACTAGACAGTAAATATTTCCTGTCAGATAGTTGTCAAACTGTACAATAGATGGCGGTAAGCTTCAATGTGAAGCGATAAGTTTCTAGTTTCCATTCTCGAAAGTAGGCCCGCCCGCTGCCTCATATAAAAGCGCGCGCGCCATCCAGCCAGTAATGTCATTCGACAATATTACGAAAGCAAGTCAATTTAGTTAGCAACTAGCTAGGTAAACTGCTATACGTGCTGTGGTGAATACTGTGAGTGGTGTCATTAGCAAGTTTTTAATACTCAATTCTTTACTTTGGCATTTTTGAAGACAAAACTATGTCAGAAGCAAAAAAGAAGAAACGGCAGTATAGCGCGGAATATATAAAATATGGATTCATTGAAAATTCCACAAATCCATCCATTTTCTAATGCAGCGATGAAACCCTCAAGGTTACAACATCATTTGAATAAAATGCATGATGAAGATTTCAACCGATTGCTATTTCACACAGAAGTGCGTTGGTTATCAAAGATAACTGCCTGACTCGATTTTACAATGTATTTGACTCTGTAATAGAGTAATATTACAAAATGGTGTTTTACATTACCCTCATCAGAAAGTCTTATTTTCACATGACACACATAATTTAATTATTAAAATAATGACTGTGATTGTGATTCTTAAGATCTAGTAAAGTAAAAAAATTTGGGGGCGCTAGAAAATAATTCTTGAAGTGGGCGGTAGACAAAATAAGTTTGAGAACCTCTGGTCTAAGAGATGACTAAGACTGTCTCAGAAAACGCGACAAAATTATTGGCGTAACATGTTTTCTTTCATTTTAAACTATTCTAAAAAAAATAATATTTGAACAAAGCCTCACCTGAATACCCTGATGACTGCAAAGATAGAAATCGAATTCTGTCGGATGAGTTATTCCAACATCTACTGTGGTACCAGCAGGGATATTCCCGCTTTTGCCGCTCTGTTCTTTTTTATCAGAACAGAACAACCTGGTGTGATGTCTCTTCTGTACCACAATGAAGGTTATTCCCGGCTTATAATCGGACTCAAGCTTGATACAAGCTTCACGAATGGCCGTAAGTTCATGCTGGAGTAGCTGAAGGAACTGTCCCTCAGACACTCCATCTCGATATAAAATGATACGATGAGGTTTGTAGCCGCCCGTCGATTTGTAAAACATTATGAGGAGTTCCCGCACCATCGAACTGAGTTCTTGAATGATTTCTTGTCGATGTTGCTGGACACGAACAGTAGCTGCATATCGTGATGGGTGGGCATCCATAGAGCCAACCACTGCTGCTATTGAGGGTTTCTTGTTGTCGCCAGCTGGCGGATGAGTCACATCAGCTCCAAGGAATATCACTGGTTCATTGAATATCTGAAAATTACAATTTTTACTTATGTTAAGCTCAGAAGGGAGTCTGTTTATTGGTATATGCAGTCGAAGCTTCATACAAGTCTGCTGACATAGATGACATAAATGGGAAAGTTCCTAAATCTGTCTGTAATTTTGTAGCAGAAATTATATCATATTCATTAAATGAATCTTTCACGTCTGGAATATTTCCAGATGTCCAGGAATCAAAATGTATACCTGTATTCTAAAATAAGGGCTCTGCTCGTGACATACATAGCTATAAGGCTATATGCATACATAGTCAAATCTCTAAACCATTCAAAGCATATCATTGTGATGGACTGACCAAGTTTCAAACACTTTGAGATACAATGATTTTTCTAAAGCGTTCGACAGACTTGACCATAGTATCTTGCTCAACAATCTTTCGACTTTTGGGTTATCCAATGAATATTTTAATCCTCTTCAAATCGTATTTTTACAACCATAAGCAACTCAATGGCCTCAAGTTTATCGAATATATAGCCACATATGTTGTACCACAAGGATCAAATCTAGGACCTCTACTACTCAATATGTTCATTAATGATATCGGAGCTGAGATTGATGTCAATTTCCTTTTATACACAGATGACTTGAAACTCTATCACAATATAACATGTCCTAATGATTGCGAACGTCTCGCCCTTAATTTGAATCATGTTGCTACATGGTGTCGGAAGATTAATCTATCTCTCAACATATCCAAATGTAATGTAATGTCTTACTCACTGAAAATGAATTTACACAACTACGTCATAAACAATCGAGTTCTAGAGCGTCCTGACACACTCACTGATCTAGGTGTTACTTTTGATTCATCCCTCTCTTTCAATAAACATATTGACACTACTCTAACAGCTGCTTATCGTATGTATGGATTCTTAGTTAGAAATACAAAAGACTTCAAAAAAGCTTCAACATTGAAATTACTTTATTTCACTATCAGATTCATAAAAATCAACTAGAAGCCCTACAGAGGCGCTTTCTAGAATATATATCTTTTAAACTTGAAGGTACGTATCCTATTGTAGGAATACCCTATTATGAATTGCTTGAAACTCACAATTTTTGTAGTCTCGAGGTAAGGCGTAAATATTATTCATTTCTTTTTTATTCAAGGTCATAAGCAATATCATCACCTGCTCTTAATTGTTACAGATGTCGAATTTTTGGGTTCCTAGATGGTCATCTAGAAATAGTGTCACATTTTATCTCTTATCTCAACACTCTGCATACAGGTATAAGAAAAAAAAATCTGCAATTTATACAATGCGTGATACCTCTTATTCTGTTGGCCACGTCCTAGATATATTCAACTGCCAGACTATACAAATCAAACGACATTTCTTAACTAACTAACAGTTCTGCTTTTTTTTATATAGATTCACAAATTATATTATGTAAGTACATATTTGTAAATGCCACTGTTACTCCCTATTCTGTAATCGGGTTTATTCTGTAGAATAGTGTATGAAATAAATAAATAAATAAATAACGATAGAAATAATATTCTAGGAGTGTTCTATGGCTTCAGTATTGCTTTTGATACTATTGATCATAATTTGTTAATCATGAAATTGGAAGGGTTANAATCCTATGTCGTTGATGAACAGAGAGAATATAAGGGGAGTTTATAAAACAGAGAAGTGAGTTAAAACATGTTCATCTCAAGTTATACACTAAAATAAGAATGTATTTTACCAACCTTTGGTCTTATTGACGGCACTAAAATGCTGTTGATTCCTCCAAGCTTAACATTAATTTTCAGGCATAAATTGGACAGTGTTTGCGGTGAAGTCTTATTAACATTTTTGGCTTGAACACATTGGGTGGCCATTCCTAATACCGTGTCGCCAACCCTTTTCACTTCAGCTGAAATAAACATTTTCTGAATATCAACATTTTCGATTTCAGCTGCAATTTCCTTACCGTACACTGGCGTTTTCCCTGGCAATACCACAACAACAAGCTGCAAGGACTGGAAGGTCGATTTCAAATACCGGAACATTGGTTCAACCTGGTCCGGACCTGTGGCATATTTACAAAAGCAAGGTTGACCAATGATTGGCATGCCTGCATCATTAGATATTTTCTGAAGCTGTTGAGTGAAATTTCTAGAAACAAGAAGCAAACACGTTATTGAGGAGGCAGTGAGAATAGAGCTGTATTCAAGTATGAAAAAAATTTATTGTAACAGTTAATGACAGCTGCATAAGTACTGTATAAAACTTCATGGCATTAATTGGTGTTGAGATTTTCCATCCTAGATTTTATATTAGATTTACAATAATCTGAAATTTGTTTAAAGTTATATTTGCCACAGTGTACTACAATAATCTAGAATTTCACATATCCCCGAAGTACAAAGTTATATAATTCAGAGCAACTCCATATGAGGGTTGTCGTTTATGTTTCGAGATTTGGCAACCCTAGTGTTGCAATCTGGCAACTGACAGCTCTATCGTAAAGTAGGACATTTTTGAGCTTACACGTAATCAGAACATATGGGCGCTATTTGTGTTGTTTACAGTAACTTTAAAGATTCTCGGCCCAAAAATGGCGATTATTTTTCACAACTTTCGACGTGGATTAACTCAGCAACAATGCATGGATGAACTTAATTCAATTTTTGGCGATGAAGCTCCATTAAGGACCAGTGTTTATCGATGGTATGGTGAATTCAATTGTGGTCGTAGTTCACTCCAACAAGAAAAGTCGCAGGGGGCCAAATCTGGTGAATAAGGTGGCTGAGGCATGATTACGCCATTGTTTTTGGACAAAAAATTACAAACAAGCAATGACAAATGAGCACGTGCATTATCACGATGCGAAAGCCATGAATTGTTCAACATTCACCTTATTTTTTGGACAGACCTCGAACAACTAGTACCTCAATTTGTTAAAGTGTATATGACAAATAAAAAATTCTGATTCGTTTTACTAAAGTAGCACATATGTCCTAGTAACACTAAGAAGGAAAATTATCATCCAATTCAAAAGATTGTCGTTCTAATTCTCACCTGAGAGCATCCTCTCTCACTGTACGCTGGGGTGCAAAACAGGCAATAGCCCAAACTCGGATTTCCACTCCAGTGAAAAATTGTTTTCCACGCATGTCCCAAACCCCCTGATTGGGCATGGCTTGTTGTTTACTCTGTAAAAATCGTATACAGTTATAACATATCCAAAAAAAAAAATACTTTTGCACCATTTTGATGACTCTTTTAATAATCACTTGCAAATTTTTCTGGTTATGAAATATTTCGGTCTGTATGCCAAATAGAGCGCACAGAGCTTGATATGAAAATACATCAATTTTAGTTTTTACTTTTCATCGATATTTTTCAATGTGTTGAGTTCAACCAAAGAATGCAAAGACCATAGAAGCTCAGAGAACTGGCATTTTCGTGTACTGTAAAATTTTAGTACCTACCCTGACCACTAGAGGGCGATGGCAGTACGATGTCAGTATTCAATGTGATTACCAACAGAACTAGGTAGCAGTCGCTACAAACTAGTCAGGTTTTTAATTTGATTTTGGCATACATCCCGACTTCGATATGACCTGACTGTTAGCTTCCCAATTCTGTTGATATTCACATCAAATAATGACACTGCTATCGCCCTCCGGTGGTCAGGGTAAGTACCAAAAAATTTAATAGTACAGGAAACCGCCAGTTATGAGGTTCTATGAGCTTTGTATATTTTGGTTAAACTGAATGTTCATGAAAATAATATCTAATTATGAACAGTATTCATCATTGTTGATTATATTAATGTCAAAGAAACCACCAATTCACGAATATATTTTCTACTAGATTAACATTTAAAATCTTGTTGTCAATATATATTTTGAATGAAGGTCATTCTAACATTTTTACGAACAGAAGTCAAATGGAAATACAGTGCGTGCTGAAGAGATAACATTAGGTGAAATATACATCAACTCAAAGAAACATTTTCCATTTTTACGGAGGTTTATTCAAAACCAAGGATTTTTAAAAAAACTTTAGAATGTACTGAAAAAGCCAATTGTATCGACGTAACACATTTAGCTTCACTAAATCATATACAGAACATATTCTATAGCAATCACACAAAAATATTTAAAAAACACACGCTAACATCATACACATTGAAACAGTTTCATGCCAAATATTTTTTAAATGATAATAATACGAAAATATTGAATCTGCTGGATTATCTGTAGTTTACCGGCACAACAAAATGAATATTTCAAAATAAAATCTTGAAACGTTCATCTCTCCCAACTACCTACACAGTAAGTTCTGGTAAACGCCTTTCGGAAAACAACTACTTCCCCGGCTAATACCACGCTGGATACTTGATAATATCCGACAGACAGCTATGCAAGATACCTCACAGGGGTTAGTCTCGTAGGTATTTCTTCGTTCGTCCAGCAGCAGGATCTACAGACCGTTTTTGAGGTATTACCTCTCATCAGTGCAGGGAAGATCCAACCCAAATAGCAAAGTACTTGGTACTCGATTAATTTCAACGCAGCTACACTACATGTATGAAACCTTCGTCTATGAGATTTAGTAACAAAGCCCCAAGCGGGGAAGAAATATCCCATGTACCAATACTCTACAACCCCACATTTCAAGTATAAATAATATTTTAAATCATGATCTGTGAACATTACATATTTTTTTCATTTTTTGACATCTAATCCAAATGTGAGGTTCTGCTTTCTTGAGAAGAAATGTTTATAAATTATTTCATCTGGTGCCTATTGAAAACCAAAGATTTCTCTCCAATATTTACCATTCCTCGAGAATATCAAGATTTCATTGGTTTGGATGAGTGATACAGATTCTACATTTTTCAAACGGTGTGGAAATATAAACATTGGTTTTCACATTCCCATTCACAAATCAAAAATTAAGTTCCTAAACATTACAAATGAAATACTGACAAACTCATCACAGCAAATGTCTCACGAACTAATACACTGATATCTAAAATAATGAAAATACGACATACTAACTCGAGCACATTAAACACTAAATTACAATATTATCACTGAATACGAAGATAAAAAATGTAGGGTATAACAAATTTGTGTTAGAATGAGATTAATCTTGCTTAGTTATAATTTGCAGATCGGCCTAAGACTTCATGGTCAATTACCACCATGAGGTAACTGTATACGACTCCATTGTTGATGTTTCAATGTTATGGTATATAGATAATTCAATTTCTATTTTTATCTAATATATAAAAATAGATGTTTGTTGGTTGGTTGGTGGGTTGATTGGTTGGAAGTGATAAACTTCTTCATCACTCAATCGATCGTGATGAAACTTGACATGTATGAATAGTTTTTCATAGAGAAGGTTTTTAGGCTATCAATTTTTCTGTAACTCGCCACTAGATGGCGCTGTAGAACAATTTTTTGAAAGCACTGTTTTATAACGCTGCGCACGCCTAAGTTCGTTGATTCTGATTCTGTCAAAACAGTAGCGATACAGCAACATGGTACTAATTAGTACTACAACTACCAAATTCTACGCGGACGAAGCCGCGGGCAACAACTAGTATGTTATATAAACTAGAGACGTTAGTTCGGCAAATTTTCACGTGATCTCATCTCATTATTCGATTATTTTAAACGAAGACGTTTCTGTTGCTTTCATATTCCAAATTGAAATCAACTGAGAAATACTTTAGTTCTCTTTAAACATATTTATGTTCTATTGAAAAATATTTATGCAGAGCAGTACGGTGTCCGGCTATTGAATAACGAGACTGCGCGCCTAAAGGGCGCCCTAGAGGGGTGAGGAAAAAACGAGTAGTTCGTTGGGTATCTGGAAATCTTCTTTATTCACGTACCAAAACAGGTTTTCGTCACTATTATAGTATTTGTGCAGTAGCGGTTTGAAACTAACGTGTTTTTTTTTCTCGTGCCGAAACCATATGTGACGAAAAACTGGAGCAACGTATCAATCTCAAATTTCTCGTTAAGTTGAAAAAACTACGACTGAGTGCTATAAATTGTTGCAAGAGGCCAATGGGGGCTATTCTCTATCTCATGCGCATGTTTTTGAGTGGTGTAAGCGCTTCAGTGAGGGCCGAGAGAGCAAGGATGTCCAAATCAAAATTCAAGGCAATGTTATCGTTTTTTTTCGACATTAACGGTATCGTGATGACTGAATTGGTTCCAGACTTACTATTTGACAGTTGGCAACACTTCGAGAACGAGTTCGTAAGAAGAACAACTTGTGGATTTTGCACCAGGACAACGCACCTGCCCATAACGTGCTATCTGTGAAGCGGTATTTGGCCGATAAACCCACTCCAGTGCTCGAACACGCGCCGCACTCGCCAGATTTGGCACCGTGCGACTTTTTTGTTTCCGAAGCTAAACTTTGGTTTTAAAGTGTCCCGATTTGAATCGTCGATAGAAGCGGCATAAAACGGCAAAGCTCCTAAAGACCCTCACCAAAGAAGACTTCCAGCACTGCTTCGATCAATGGAAAAAACATATGTTATACCGATTTTTTTAACTTTATTTTACATTTTAAATAGCTTAAAATTTGTTTCTGCAAGTACAAAATTTTCCTTTTACTATTTTTTTGACGACTGTATACAATTTTTTTAATTGTCACACAAGAGAATAAACTCTACTCTAATCTATGGAAAGGTGTGTGGCGAGGGGAGGGGAGTATATTGACCCTTTTTCATAACCAGTCTCGTTATTTAATAGCTGGACCTGGTATATGCTTCTAAATTTGCAACCAAACACTCAAAAAACCATCACGCACATGTTGCACCACGGACTTTATCGAAAGTTCAGTTCTCATGACTCACCATAAAAAAATTTGGATTTTCCACGCCAAAAATGAGTTTTATTCCCAGCAGTATCTAATGATATTGAATAGAGCAATTACTCAATGACTTGAATTTAGACCAGAGGATAATCGAAAATGAATAATACCTTCGTTATAGAAAGTTTTCATTGGCAAATCTCGTGCTATCTTCTACTACCAGTTTGTCGCACAAAAACCAATCTAGGAGGCCTTAGAGTTATAATTTTAATGTGCAGACCTGCTGTATAAAAATGAGGTAAGCCTCACGTTCTGCAACCTCATGAACTTTAAAAAAACTCGAACTACTATGTATTATTACTCGCACATTTCACTTCTCAGTGTTCTATGAATTTTATATTATATTTCTCAAAGAAGTCAAGTTGTAAAAAAAACAATGATTTTATAATCATATTAAGCATTAACAGAACTTAAACTGTATCCATCTAACAAAAAAATGAACCCAAAGCATGATCACCACGCACATTTGCATCTATTGGGTAAAATAAACGAGCCTCCTCAAGCTGGCCAATCAGATTAAACTGCAATTGGCTGACGGAATTCATTGTTATAGTGTCGAAGTTGTCAGTTACGTTTTAACGTCTGTGGTGTGTACACATACGGTATTTTAAACAAAATTTTTTAAGTGTCAAGGCAATGATACAGCTCAAGAAACTGCTAATTTGTGTCCCTAAGCAGCCTTGTCTGGGAGATCACGGGCACTATGAATGATGTTTTGGAGCACTGTGTTGCTTGGTTTGACAGAGAATAGTTTATACTGATCTGCAGCATAATTTAAATCCTAATAGATACCCTTTAACATGTTGAATCTTCTTTAACATTCATTCAAAAAACCAATAAATAGGTACAGATGGTGCAACGATTTAAAAAAAACAGAATTCAACTAGGAATGAATACAGACTGCAGGTAACCAATTCAAAAATATTTTCTCAAAGAATCTGTTATGAATATTACCGATTTTAATTGAATATCATACTCGTAAAAGGTGTTTTAGAACATTACCAAGTATACTTCTACCTTAATGAAATTAACGTTTCTCTTTCAGCAAGTTACTCACAACTGTAAAATGCCAAAAATGATTTGGCAAGACTTTCCAATGTTTTTCAATTTCTCCAGATAAAAACCTGGACGTAACACTTCAATAAAAAACCATCACGAAAGTGAAGGCATACAGTTCACATTTACTTCTTTCTATCAACATTCGATAATTCGTCTGACGCCTGCAATCTGTCAACTACAAACTAAAAAAATAATAAATGCAACGGGAAACTAACGTGCCAGCCCACCTGTCCGCTGAGAGAGGCGACTCTACC